TATCACTGAGCTTTGTCCCTGTATGAGATCAGCTGTAGCAATATATGTAACTTGAAAATGAAACATTTTCAGAGATTCTTCCCTGGGGTTTATACCGGTAGATATTAAAAAGCTATTGTTAATTCTTTATAACTCTCCCTAAAGAAAAACTTTGTAAACTGTGTCTCTAGTATTCATAATGAAAATTTGTGTCATAGAAGTATTACTACCTTTTCCAAATAAGCTAGAATAATTTTTGGTTTTATTGCAAATATCGGAATTGACAGCTATGTAGTTTTAGGAATTGTATGTCATAGTAGATGGTTAGTTTAATTAAAGCTACTCCACTAAGATTGTTATCATCTTCCAGACAGAGTGCATACGCTTGAATTTTATACTGCTTGAGTTCTTTGTGGTGTTGAGTTAAATGTCTTTTTTATTTCCTGAGTAATCTAGGTTGTGTTGCTTTGTAAACAATGTATTAGTAACATTAAGACTTAGCGCCAGAACATGGATGTTATGTGTGTATACAGGTACATGACAAATCTTGGGAATTATGATGCATTTTTTGTCTAGAATTTTATTCATGTATTACAAACATATCTCCATTTCTGTAGTGAAATGTTGCTACTGTTGACAGCACATGTAACTGTATGATGCTGAAGATAGATGACTCTGCTATCGCTTACTGTATTTCAGTTGGGGATAAGGAATTTAGGCAAAGAACATGCAGATTATTTTACTTGACAGTTGGTGTATGCTTCATACTTGTTCCAGATAGGCATTTTTTTTACAGTGTAATTTTAATATATTATAAAGGCGTGAACACAGTACTAGCTGAGATAGAATTCTGTCTGTGTGTAATGGTTGGGTTTATTTTTGCAAGTATGAGTGAGACATGGCTGGGAGAACACTGTTTATTTTTATATAGCAAACCATGCTTTATTATTGCGGGGTAAGGTATATTGGAGTCCCATTTTGCATCTAACTAGATGCCCACTCCCAGTGGAAAAGCCTACAGATCTGCTGTCTTCTTAAAAGTAGAATAATTACAAAATTTCGTACCTTGACTAAGCTCTGCATCTGGTATCTATGTATATTAACTGCTGATCACACTGCAGATCTGACTGCCTCGGGCCTTTGCATTTCTTATTTTTAAATACTTTTGGCTAATAATTAGAGGCTGACAGAATTCTTTAGAATAGTACTTCTACAATACCTTTAGCTGAGAACTTAAAAAAAAAGAAGAAAAAAGTGAGGTTTGGAAGATAGTATTCACTGTCCTTAAGAGGAAATCCCAAATCAAGTTAAAAGACCAAATTCAAGTTCTTATTATAGATACATTGCACCAATGTGTTTTAGTCTGGATTATTTTATTTCTATGAGATCTTTGCCAGCATAGCAAGGAACACAGAAGTATCAATAACAAATAAACAAATAAAACAATCTCTGTGTAACTGTATTAGCGTTCACAGGAAGATGTGGTTTCGCTAGATATGTTGGAGTTAGGTTTTTGTATTGCACAGAAAGAATATAATTGTCCAAAGTAATTGGATTAACCTTTTTTATGCAAAGACTGCTTTCACTGACTTGAAAATGTATCTGGACTGATTTGAGGTATTTTTCAGATGTGTAAAATCATTACACAGTGTTCTCCATGTTGTTGTTGTTCCCTTTGAACTCGCACTTTAAACATTCTTTGTAATGTAAAGTATATTTGGAATCAGTCCCTAAAACCCTAAAATCTCTTTTTTGGTTTTAAAAGTTGCAAAAATAATTGGCACTATGTTACATTGCATTCTATTTCAGACAGTGACTTTTTAAGTGAAGTTCCACCATACCAGATAATGCAGATGGTATAGTTCAAATATTGGTATTGCGAGGCAAGTTTAACAGCATGTTGTACTTGGAATAATTTGTCACACATTCCATTGTGCAATATTATCCACTGCTTCACTTGCCATCTTAAGATAAAAATTACTTTATTTGCATTCAATGCATTTTTGTCACTACTGGGTTGTTTTATTAAGGTCATGTCTTGTGTGCTGTATGTATTCTAACTTCAAACTAAATCAAGACTTAACAGTTTAGGGAGGAGGTCATATTTTGTGATCGCCTGTGATAGCAAGGAAGTAAACTGGACTTGGATAGGTATTGTCCCATCCAGCACTCTATTTCTGAATACAACTCGTTAAACATCTTGTTAAATCAATTTTTATGAAACATTGTCAGTGGCTTATGAAGTGACTGGCTAGATGTCCAAATGACTTTCACAAATGAGTAAATTTTCAAAACTGTAAAGTGAGTTTACTTTTTCCTTGTATATTCAATCTGCAGTTCTCAAAATGAAAAGGTACGTGTTGAGGAGCAGTGGCTTTCCTTTAGTCATGCAGTTTCTTCTATGAGGAGAAAATGAGCTCATACAGACATATGGTACTTGTACAAATTACTGCATGTGGTTATTACTTCTTGAAAAGGAGGGAACAGTTAGCTGCTTTTCTCCCTTGCTTCCTCTCTCCACACCTCTGTCTTAGATGATTTAATGTAGACTAATCGAAATAAGACATTACTTATAAGTTCTGTTTGAGCAATATGTAGTATGACCACACAGAACACAAGGTAACTACTGGCATTCTTTTCACTGTGCCATATTAATAAATGATGGTTTGCATGTTTAGTTAATTGACCATCAGAGCTGTGACATTGTGTAATCCCTCTGTTTTAAGGATAGCAATTTGCAGATGACTGTATAACTATTATCGTGAAAAGCTCCAAAGATGCCTCCTTGTATGTTTGAAATTGTTCTCAAATGCCACAGAGCGTTTTGGAGTATGACCTGGGATGAAAGTGGTGGCATGACTTACAGTATTGGTAGTATGAAACTTATATTTGCAGCTAGTTTCCATGCAGAGTTTTAAAACCTAAACCTATAGGTATTTGACTTTTAAAAAAGTTATTATTATATTGAAACTTTTATTTAGTTTCCCCCACTCCCACCCCCGTGGGAAACAAACCAGTCCCATGGTACAGGGGACTTTGTGTGGTCCATCAATTCCAGCTGTAATTCTAGACAGCCTTTGCCTTACAACCAGGTTTCCCAGTCCTGTCTGTGGTACCATGGGCAGCAGCAGAGCACGTATTTGTGTTCCAGCCAAGTTGTGTTCAACCACAGTCTGCAAATGGGGTTGGAAGTAGGGGAAGGGATGAGGCTAGCACAGGGGAAGGAGGGGGATAAGAGTAGTAGGGAGTCAGGCAAAAATGCTGGGAAGCCTGCATGGATGAACAAGGACTTCCTGAAAAGACTCAAACATAAAAAGGAGGTATACAGAAGGTGGAAGTGGGGACAAGTAATGAGAAGGAATACAGAGACATCTTCCAAGCATGCAGAGATGCAGTTAAGAAAGCCAAAGCCCAACTGGAATTGAATCTATTGAGGGATGTCAAAGACAACAAGAAGGGCTTTAATGCAATAAATGCAGATTTATTTTTTTTTTAACGCAGTGAAAGTAATTAACTTTAAAATATGTGAGAGTTTGTCATCTTGGAGTTAGAACCCGTTACTTTGTAGGCTGTTTGACTTGCTTGCTTTCTCCCTGCCTTGGCCAAATACCTTGCTTGCTTCTGGAATGCAGTTCCCTGTTTCTCTGGGTTGCCTTCTGTGTTCCTTTCCCTGTCACTGTCCACCACTTTACCCTTAACATGGTGCCTGTCTTTTGGCACATATTGGTCTCTGCAGGTGCTTACTCACTAGCTTTTTTTTTTTTTTTCTGAGGATCCTTCTGTCCTATTCTCTCTCATCCTCAGACAAATTTGATGTTGACAGAATAAGAAAATGTCAATGTAAATGTTTTGAATGTATTTTCTCATCATTTCAACTGGAAGCTTTTTTTCATGTTTTCTTTGGACACCCACAGTTGAGAGACCCAATAAGAAAATTTTGGCCTAGAGAGTAGAAGTCATCTTTTTTTCAGAGATGTGAAACCTTCTATCTGCTTAAAAACCAAGCTAAGAAATTGGAATAGCCCCTGTGATGAAACAGATGAGGGGAAAAAATAATAAGTACTACTTAATTCTGGGAGCATCTTATGGAATTTGCTCATGCTATTCAAGTTTTATCATCACTGAAGCCGCTGATGCTAGATTCAGCTGTGAGCCTTGAGTCGAGAAATATTTAAGTGTATGTTTAAGTCTTGGTGACTGTGGTGGGACTTGAGCGAATGTGTGGAGTTTAAGCATGCCGTGCTTTCTTCAAAGCGGGACTCTGTGAGGGAGCCCGTTTCCGATCGTCTTGTGTCCTGGGTCACTGGAGCTGCCGGGAGCATGAGCCAGGGCTGTGTTTCACCTGCTAGTTCATTGCACGTCCTCATTACATAAAAATGAAATATATTTCTGGATGTTCAGGGTGTCATCTCAGTTGAGCTGTGTTCTTTCTCTCCTGAGGTTTTCACTTATGTATATGTTACTGTTCCTTCTCCTAGCATAGTCTGTTTGCTGCTCCCCCAACCCCAGGAGGTTTCTGGGGAGCCAGGAGCCATCTGAAGCACAGACCAGCAGGGGTTGCTGTAGGAGTAGGAGATGGAGAAGATTCGCTGCCTCCCTTTTGGAGGAGCCCTCCCTGAGGGTTTGCGCCTGCTGCCCTCTTTTCCCTCATACCTCACCCAAGCTCGCTTGGGCTCAGCAGTGGCTTCCCAGCATGGAATAGGTGCCTATTGCTTACTCACAGCTTTGCATAGTCTGTGTTCATAAATTAAATACTACATTTCATCCTTACAATCCTAAAATTAACTTCAGAGTTCATATTTTGGCTCAATACATTTAAAATGTTTTTTTATGTTTATTGTTTCTGTAGAAGTGGACAGTGGCATTTGTAGTGCTTCTTTCCAGATGTCCATAGATTATTGCTTTAATATCATTTGTTGCTCAAGAACTTGCTGATGTCTTTCAGGACTGGGACATAATTGGATTGGGAGTCATTAGTTGCATCCTTTTGATTGAATGTTGAGGCTTTTTCCTTGATTCCTATGAAATCACCATTAGCTATTCTGGCTGCAGCTCTGTGTTGGGTTCAGGCAGTGCTACGTTATAAATCAATATCTTTTCAAAAAGACTGCTGTAAATTGCCTAGATAGCATATGCATGGTTACTTTGGCTGCAATACTGCTGCAGAGCCTGGATACTCTGCCTTTCTGGGAACTCCACAGGCAAGTCCATCATATATTCAAAAAAAAAAAAATCTTTTTAGAAAGAGCGTGGTATTGCTGATGAAATTTAGACAGAGAAATATTGTGCGCTTACTGCTCATCTGTACCTTTTATATTTTACTCCATGGGGATTACCCTGTCTTGAGGGATTTCTTTGTTTTCTGCTTTAGATTTCCCCCTTTCTTAGCTGTAGTACAGCCGTACCATTTCAGCTTGCTAGTGCAGAAAGATGTTGTGAATTCAGTTGCTGAATGAGCCTGGCCTGACTGCAAACACTAACATTGCTAGAGAGATGCCAAAGAGTTGCAGGTGAATCTAACCTGATCTGGGCAAAGCAAAACGGTAAGATGGAGCTTGTTTTAATCTGGGATTAATTGAGTGCTGGGGTTTCCTCTTTCAACCTGAAGCCTAGTTATCACATGCTTCCAACTTGAGCAGGATTCATTCTGTGCATGTCAGGGTGGGTTTTCTTGGGAATGCTTAAAATCCAGGCAGAGGGAGGCGGTGGGAAGCTGGGAACGCTACATGAGACCTCTCGGCAGCCACCCTGGTGAGACTCCTCGGCAGCACTGCCCGTGGTTTGTAAATATCAGGGAAAAGGTAAGGGAAAGCTTAAAAGCAATGCTTCTCTAGGTACAGCTTTGTGTTTCTCTCTCCAGCAGCCTTATTTATTATTGTATTAAGAGGATAGTATGGGCAATTTTTTCCTATATATGCTTGGCTGAACGCCCTCTGGGACGAGTGAGTGAAGGACGTGATCAGCCACTTTTTCATCTCTGCTAACAAGTCTATACATCTTGCTAAATCTGAATTTATCAGTTACAGATTTGTTCAGTGTTGGAAGATAAATGATCTTTATAAATACATGCTATGTCATGGATGTCAGAATATCTTTTTGCCTTGTTAACCTCTGTGATTATTTTATTCTCTTGCATGCTGTCTTTATTTAATAAAACAAAAAGTGAGGTAGTCATTTTAAGTAGTCATTCTTGAATGCTTATGTAGGAGTGTGTTGGCAGCGGTTTGGATCTTAGTGGAATATTTCAACGTATGAAAGCTTAGAGCAGCAGCATGTTCAGGGAGAGAGAGGAGGAAAAAAGCAGCAGTTATCATTAGTACAAGATAGAAAGATTAGAATGTGACCATTGTATGGAATAATTTGAATTATTTTTGATGACTTAACTGACAACTAGTGTGTTTCAGTTGTAGATCAAGCCATAGATTAATCTCAACAGAAAGCCATTGGAACTGGACAAAAAAATTATTTCACCATATGGTCTAGTATTTAAAGGAAACCAACTATGGTAGAGTGAAGTATGGTTTTTGCTATTACTAGTTAAGGGTAAGAGCAGAAGGTTTTATTTCTAGAGGAGCGTGTTTATGCAGTATGTGAATTATACTCCAAGAAGAGAGCAGTTGTATATCAGTGTGGGATCAAATAACTAGTTTGACAGGGATTCATGTTTGCTTTTTCTGTACTTGCCAATTAAGGGTTTTTTCTTCTTTGTCACTGAATATGATTAAAGGGGAAAGATTTAGTCCTATCTCAATTATTTTCTGAAGGTTTCATTATTATTTTGCTGCAGTTCTCTATTTAAAAAAAATATTTTCTAAATGTGTGACACTGTGTACTGCAATGTGAGTGCTGTGAAGTGGACTGTTTCACACTGTGTACAAACTTAATTTGCATGGTTTTGTCTCAAAAAGTAGAGATGCTTTTTTTTTTGGTCAACAATAACCTTGAATGTTTCTATTACAATAATTATTTCAGCTGCAAGCATTTTTTTTGTGCAAGTTTTCCTTTGCTTATACTATCATACCTATTAATAAATTGCAAGTCTTCAGTGCATTTGCTATTGTTTAATGCATAGAAGTAATCCAACCATTTGTGTTTGCGCTCACATACAAGGAATGAAAGTCCAGAAACTCTTAGGCACGCGGGATACTTTTAGAGCAAATTTTAAGTTATGTTTTTTCCTTAGTGATATTTTTTCATCTATGTATATATGTGAAAGTTGTTGCTTCTGCCAGCTTTCTTCCTCCAAGTGTTTTTTCTCTCCAAATGTAAAACTGTCAGCTCTGTTCACTGTGTTACTACTGTCTCTTGGAGTTCTCCCATTTTAGTTTTCTAAGCTTAAGAAATCAATAATGTTTTGGGCATTTTTTATTGATAAATAATATTCCCTATGGTAATATTTAGTTAAACACAGATCCCAAATTAAGTAGGGGAGGAAGATAACATATAATGTGGAAAATGTGGCCAAAAGTTAAGAATGAAGATAGGAAACATAAGAAATACATAGTTTAATAAGCAGTTAGTGTTGAGTGCTCTATAAAGATTTACGATCTTCTCCATTTGGATCAGTTTTTGTAGTGAGGCTGAGGTCTGTCACAGCAGGAGGTAAGAGCTTACCTGAGGAGTGAATGTTTATCGTAGTCTCCCACATGTCTCTGGCTCCGGATAGAAAGAACTTTAAAAAATTGGAATTGAGCAGCCTAAAAATCATAAATGTCGCATCTTAATGCAAGGAGGTTAGCCAGCCTTTGAAGTCCTATAGCAAAAATGGTCACCTAACTATCTCTTTTTGGCTCTTTTGTGTGTAAATCTTAAACAAAAACAAAGAAAAAAACCCCCTAGAACCAAACACATGCACACAATTTTTAACATTTTTTCCCCTCACGCTCTAAGCTTGTGTGGACTATTAAAAAAGTTGACCTCCGAGTAGGTACTCTCTCTCAGGCAGGCAATTCTTCTTTCTCCTAGAGCCCCCAGAGAGAAGGAAATGGCTGGTACCATGAAAAGGGCCTGCGACTAGGCCACGGTATCAGTATGCCAATCGGTCCCAAGGGGTAGCTGCTGTGGGCACTGCGAGAGTCAGTCACACAGCTCTGCTGGGCTCCAGCTGCTGGAGGTAAGAGAGTATTTTGTCCTTTAAGGGAAATCATTGCACAGTGCCAGCTACCACTGAGCTTTTGCCTCGTGCAGGTTTTGGTACGCTGTCCTGGCCTGACTTGCGTGGTCAGTAGGAATTTGCTGGGGCGAGAGCTTGTGTGAATGCTTGGCCTGGTTCAGGTGAGGCCTCAGGCTGTTGTTTTCGGTGACTTCTGTATAAATGTGAGAGTAGATGTGTCCCTTAAAGGTCACAGGAGCTGCCAAGCAGATCCAGTCAGCTTTGTTGGGAGCTTGACTTTGAAGTCCCAGCAAGCAAAGAATAGTCAGCGGTCAGGTGGTGCTATATGTGGTTTGTAAATTGGGTTTGATCATACTAGTGTTAAAATTTTCTTAAATCTTTCAGGTACTGGTACAATGATAATTACAGCTTACAAACCATGTTGAAATGAAGGAGAGTATCCTAGCAAATATTACTTGAAACAACAGAGAGACTGTGTGATACCAGTGCTCCAAAGCCTGTTTCTGAACTAAAGAAAAATGTAGCTGGTGTTCTTAATATGTGAAGAACAGGTTAAATATTATGTTTTCTCATCTTGAGTTCCCTTAGGTAGGCCCGTACTGACTTCCAACATCTTTGATTAGGTTTTTCTTTTGGTACCATGACAGGAAGGTACATGAATGGAAAGTTGGCTAGTTAAGGAACAGACTCTGAAGGACTTTATTTTTTTTTAATCGTATTATCACAACAATAATGTCAGGACAACTTCTCCCAGCAGTAGCTCCATCAGTCATAAAGTGCTTCTTCCACGTACATGATGACTTCTGGGTTTTGGTATAGTTCAGTAAATACCTTTCTGTGACTACTTTTTGCTTTTGAGATAAGTGTATTGTATTTTATCAGAAGTATTGATTATATGCATCTCTTTCATGTGTGGCGTATTTTTCACTGATATCTTCTGTTCCACTCCCTAATATGAGCTTCTGTATAATTCTGGATTTAGCAATTTAACAAAATGCGAGTAGTGAAATAGCAATTTAGCATAGTGCTGGATGTTGAATTCAGGGGGGTGATGTTGTATTATAAGATTTTTGAATCAGCAGCATGAACAGATCATTTTGCCTCTGGAAAAGTAATTTTCGGGGTTTTCCCTCTATTGCTGGTGAACTGAAGCAGTATTGTGATCTTACTCTTTTGTTTATCATATTCCTGGGTGGATGGGATTTCTCTGAAGTTCCTGTATCAGTTCTGGACTGGCCCACGGAGGACGCAGAAGCAGGCAGTTTTATCTGTTAATTGTCTTACTTTATGATGGTGTCCTAGTCAGAAATCGTGTGAAAAGGCAGAGATTATTGTTTTGTTTTGCAAAAATTTTTAGAATTTATTATTAGTTAATGCTACAGTAGAACTTGCTATCTTATCCTGCTGACTAGGAGATCTGTTGCAGCTTCTGATTGAAAAAGATTTGTGATAAACTTCAGCTAGACATTATATAAATGTAAAGTAATCTAAGCTAGTAGCAAACATCGTATCAGCAAGCTTTTGACCTAGTCTGTATCATTCTATCTTGGAAATTGTAGAGATTTCATATTAGTTGTATTTCAGTTTTGCTGTGTAGGATGTTTATAATTTAATATTAAATTGTATACCACTTACCTGAAGAGAAGAATAACAAATGTTGCTAAGTAAGCAGTGAGGAAATAGAACCACTAGAAAAAAAGTATAATGCCTGTTTATGTATTGTGAAAGCTCAGCTTCATTTAATTCATTTCTGATGCTTTTCAGTCTACAGGCTTAGTACGTTTGAATATGTCCTCTCCCAGTTTATTAAATCTTTGTGTAAGTGCAAAGAAAATGTGTTTAAACCTGTAGAGAATATGTGTAAAATATGCTTGCCCAGACTTCCCTGTAAATAGTGGGTCTTTTAATGAACAAATGGGTTCCGTTGATGAATATTAGCTATAGAAATGTTATTTTAATGTTGTGCAGAAAAGTTGTCTTGGGAAGTTCTACAGTTTATTGATGAGGGTGGTTGGTTTTGCTGCTGCCTGGGAAAACGGTGGAACCAGCACCCATAACTTTGAAGTTGGCAAGGAATTCCTTGTATTT